TCCAGCTAATGAACCAACAACAGCTGATAAACCTTGGTTTAAGAGTGATTGACCAATGGCAAGAAGTGGTGTTGTGATTTGACCAAGAAATTCAGTGAACATGGCTGAAATATCACCGAAGATACGACCTAGAATGTATGGTAAGATTGTAGTGAATATATTACAATAGAAATAGATGAAAATGAATACATACCACCAATGAGTCCTGAAAGACTACCCATAAGTTGACCAAGAAGACCGCTGGCGGCTTGAGCAAGGAGTGGTTTGAATTGGTCAAGGATGGCACTGATGTTGAAGTCTAATCGACCACCGAGTTGAGCAATAAGACCTGTGAGTTGACCAAGAGCTTGTGCAGCCATATTCATGAGTTGAGTTTGAAGCATAGATACGGTTGATTGCATAACAAGTTGTCCTTGTGCAAGAAGTTGGTCAACAATTGGATGACGGGCTTCAGTAGCCATTGATCCAGCAACACAGGCGAAGAAGATGAGTGCGATAGCAGCGTTCATTGTTAAATGTATTTAGTAGATTTGATAAATGTGAATGAAGATATGAGAATGGTGAGTGACTTTACAATGAAAAAAAGAGTGCTTTTTATACCCTCATTTTTTTTCAAAACACCTACACACTTATGAGATAAAATCAAACTGTATAAATACGAAATAACAGAAAAACAAATCCATATGTTTTATTTTCTCATTGACAACTAATCAGCAAACCAATTTCGTACTTACAAAACAAATCAAACACATCGAATTTTAAAAAAAAAATTCGACGACATAGATAAGAAAAAATATCTTATTGATATTATTTTTTATTACTTTTTTTAAATTCAACACTATTCGTTATCAATCTAAGTCATTGATTTTTCTACTTTTCTACTTATTATTATATAAATATCAAATTCACCAAGTATTGATATTGTTCATTAATATTTAATTTCCTATTTAAATAAGAAATAATCGTCTGATGTAGCTTAGATTTACTATATGACTCGTTCAATCAATAATTATTTCGAATAAATATATTGTATACATATGATCATCATTCATCAAATCGATCTAACATACTAAAACAACGCACATTTATTTTGTTGCACATCGTATAATCATTATATCATTTAGTACAAAAAAAAACACTACATGATAATTGCTTTCGTGAGTATTTCCTGTTCTTATAGCATAGAACAAATTATCAGAATTTTCTTTTCTAACACAAAGATCCAACTGTCTTTTAACATCAATAAAATCATTTCTAATATATGTTGATTTATTTGCATTCATATCAATTCAATAAAACGACTTCTAATTAGAGTCTTGTATATACATTATTCCACTCTCTTACTATAGTTTCGATACATAATTTTATTTGATTGCAAAATCAATATTTTTTTTAATGTCCAGAATTGATTAATTTATCTTAGGAACAAGTTAAATATTAGTTTTATTGATATTAAAATGTCTAGTACAACTCATTTCTTGTGATTCATAAATAAATAACTAATTTATCTGATAATGTTATAAATAAAATATTATATAACAAAACGATACTCTTATATTTCTGAATTACGTATTAGTTATTATATTGATTTATATGCATAAGAAATTATACAACGATTATATATATATTCTATAAACACTATGCAATTGAAAAGTTTAGCTTTTGTTATAAGACAAATTAATGTCAATGATGTTTTGTTGGATGACCTTCTGCTTGTGCTTGTGTTGTTATAACAGTTGTTGTTGTACTTGCTAAACGACGACTTGCATCTTCAGCTCCAAGCTATAAGAAGAAAAAAAAATATAGATAGAATATTTTAACAAAATCGTTTAATAATAATTATACTTGTGCGACTTTTTCAGTAATTTCTTCAATTTTTGAATTTGTTTTAGCTTGAGCTTCTTTCAAAATATTCTATAGATGAAACAAAATTAGAGAAAAGAATAAAAAGAATTTTTATTCGGTACCATTTTTAATCGATTAGCTTCTTCATGAACTGCATCGATACGTTTACGAGCTGCTTCAAGAATTTTTTCTTGATGAACATTTAAATCTTTTTCAAGTTCAACTAATTTTGTTGCTTTCTCTTGATCAAGTTCATTAATAAATCTGTAATTGAACAAGAAAAAACAAATTGTTCGTATTTTTTTGTTTAATTAATATATAAAATCTTCAACTTACAACATAAGTTTATCTTTAAATTCATCTTCAATTTTATTCGTTTCTTTTACAGCATCATCAAGTAATTGTTGTTGTTGAGCTTGTGCTGAATGAACGATTTTATCTATACTAGATTTAACAGCTTCCGATATTTCATCAGTACGATGTCGAGCATATTCATCAATTTGTGAATGTGTTGAACCTATAAAAATTTACAAAACAAAGAAATTATTTTACAATAAAATATTATTTTTACCTAATTTTGACATTAATGCATTTATTTTAGCCTGTGAATTTGCCGCAACAGTTTTTGTTTGTGTTTGACTACTAACAACTGATTGAACCTTAATATCTTCAAATGTTGCTGTATGAGTAACAGGAGGATTTGATTTCTTTTCTGAATGTTCACCATGCCCAGTAAGTACATGAAGTATTGATGACATGTTTACAAATGTAGAAATAATGTATAGTGCTAGATCAATTTTTTATGCTATTTCTCTCTTTTTTTTCTGTCTGACTATGGCGTCGTTAGTAAAGAATGCAAGAAAGTGAATAGATCTCGTGTTGAACTATCGTAGTTCTATTTTTTTTTCGCCGGAAGATAAAAGCGACCGAATATTAGATTCTTTTCTTCTCTTATTTTTCTCGTTTTTTGACTGGTTACAACGATGATGTGTGATCTAATTCAATAGACATCAGGCGAATTCAGCAACTCTCACAATATCTAATAAGAAAAAAGAATATTCGTCCTGAATAAAAAAAATAATTTGTTTATGCAATATATAAAAATAAGATTTGAAATTAAAAATAGATAAAAAGTTATCTAAATATATTACAATGAAGAAGATTAGTCGTATTATTTTAAAAGAATATGACAGGCATGCGTTACTCACATAGAAGAATCACTTTTTTTCTGCTCTTGAATGACAATAGAACAAGAAAAAGAAAGCAAGCACGCAAATTCTATTTTATGAATAGCTATTTTCTACTCGTCGAGGTACTACTTCGAGTAGGGAATTAGAAAAGACTTTTCTACTAATACAATTCTAACAAAGAATCAACGATGTAGAAACTCAAAATTACAAAATCCATTAAGGTTAGATTTTCTTACAAAACTAAACTATGCATATAAATTACAAAACATAGTATTTATGGAAAAAATAATCTTCTATTTCATTTTGAACTAATATTAAGAAGAATATAGATCTTATCTTTGAAGGTCAACAATGAAATTCTTTATCATATAACTACTTATTAACCTTTTCCGATGGCATGTTGTCAAGTGACCATATTTTGCCCTAGGGGAGTATGGCATTTTTTGAATGGCTGACCAAAAAGGGTTAAGAGAAGATGGTAAATATTGTATTAGTTTATTTTGATTTAAAAATAAACGAACAATAGATATACATATTTGAATTTTTGTGTATATTTTTATCTGAATAATTTCTATTACATCATTGCTAATATTTCCGTATTAAAAGCCTAAATTATAAGTAATTTTTCACGTGTTTGTCTATTTATACGATAATAATTGGCGTAAAAAAAATGTTTTTTTGACTGCCGATCGAGACAAGTGCAATTATGAAAAATTTAATAGAGATTGTTCCGGATCAGAAATAGAGAAATATTTTTTCTATTCAAAACAGGATTTTTAAATATAAATAGAACTACGTAAAAGAAGCGACAAGAAATAGTCAGTGAATAACTAAAAGCTTAATTAATTTTTTATATATAATCATATACACAACACAGTTTTTATCAAGAGAATATGAATACTTAGCGTTCTATTCAATAATTAATATTAATGTTACATTCAATAAAGTCTATTCTTTAAAATGCATTAATATCATTTTATAACCATATATATATTTCATTGTTAAATGTAGATTTTTTCTTCTTTATACAGTATTAATGAAAAACTTAAATCCATTCACTATAATATTGTTTATTAGAGACATCTGTTCTCTTTGTATATAACATTATTTGAATCTTTCCCATTTTTCTAATATCCAATAGATAAACAATTTCGTATTGATTATATTCAACCATAAAAATTTTCCTTAAATAGAGAAAATATTATTTAAATGAATTATTTTTCTACATCGAATACAATTTATGTTGGTAATATTCAATCAATTGATGATAATACATTACGTGAATATTTTCAACGTTTTGGTGAAATTGAAGCATTTTTCCATAATTGTTCACGTTCAGCTGATGAATGGTTAATTGATTATCGTTTTATTCGTTTTTCATCTGATACAGACATTAATATATTTTTAACAAATAAAATTGATCATACAATATGTCGTATTCGTCTTGATATTCATTCTTATGACGCAGTTTTTAGTGACGAAACACGTTTATTATCAGATAGAAAAATATGTATTGCTCATACAAATTCTCAACTTAATCGAAATGTTATTAAAAAAGTAATTCATATAATTATTTTATTTTCTATATCAATTTTCTATTTCTTTATTATTAAGGCATTTACTAGATATGGTCGTATATTAAATTGTACATGTGTATCATCTGGTAATGGTCTTGAATATGTTTATATTGAATTTGATTCAATAAATTCAGTTCGATCAATTATTACATCAGGTCAAAATCATTTTGCTGGTCGAACATCACTCGCCGTTAAACAACCATTACGACCATCACAAGTTGGAATTAAATCAGAATCTAATATTAAAGATTGTCATCAAAAAGATCATATTAAACCATTTAAATATCCTTATCATGAACCAACAACAACACGATATTTACCTTCATCTCCTCATCAATCAATACCTACTAAATCAGATTATCAGACATTATCAATATCTCATACTATACCGACAACAAATCACTTATACAGGTAGATAAAAACATTTTTTGTTTCGCTTTTCTTATTGTTATCTTTATATTTTAGTCAACAACAAATAAAAGATCTCGAACAAGAATATAATATAATAATTCAAAAAGATTACGAAGAAATAATATATCAAATTGATAAATATCTTGAAAAAAACCGAGAAAAATATGAAAAATTACATAAACTTATTCTTCCATAGTTGTCACGGTATTCATTCATTCATTTTTTTTGTACAATGTTTAGTTTTTCATTTTTTTTGTTGCATTAAAAGATAATTGAAATAAAAATAAGTTTTGTTTAGTTACAATGTTTTTACACGTAATAATAAATCATCAATGAATTTCTAGAAAAAACAATATAGATATACATAATTGATTAATCAATGTATCAATATTTACCATTGTTATTGAACGAGATTGTTTGACATTTCTCAATTTCTCCTACATAATATTTAGATGATTCATATTGAAAGATAAACAAAAAGCTTACGAGTAAAAATGTACGTCGTTCCGATTCATTGTCAATGTCTAAAAGACAATCAATTAAATCTCCGGGACAATGATCATGATTTTGTTGTATATTATCATCCTAAAGATTAACAAAACAATTTATCTTTATTTTTTTTGAAATTTACTGTTATATCATAGAGATATTGTAATTGATCATCAAGCCAAAATTCAACTTTCAATCGTTTACGTATTAATTGCATTTGTTGAGGAGGATATTTACTTAAAATAAAAATATTTTTTTCACGAATTATATTTTATAATAATCATACGCTGTAAGGTATTTTTCACGATCATTACATATTTGTGATGTAGATGTTAAATCATTAAAACGAACAGAATTATTTATAGATGATGATGTTGGTGTTGTTTTAGTTGTTGAAACATTTGAAGATTCTCGTGAATTAACTGGTATTGTTGTTTTTGAATGAAATGGATGTCTCATATAATTCATATTTGAATACTAATCTTAAAAATGAATAGAATGACCTCGAAGATGTATATATACAAATATATAGACTATATAAACATGTCAAACATCAACCTACATATATATATATTTGAACAATAGAGTAAGCACGTATTTTGCTTGCTTACTATCGGTTCATCATAATCAAAATATCATCAGTCGTACAAAGGATGGTCGGATTATGTTATATATATATATATACTAGAGCTGAATACAAAGACGTAAATCATATAACATGAGAACGAAAAAAAAGAAGAAGGAGAGAGGGAGACGACAAAGAAAATTGTTACATATACGATGTTCTTGAGTATATTCCTTCTTTATGATTTTGAGTGAATAAGTTTCGTCTGTATAATTACATACCTATAGTCTTCAATTACATTTCAGTCATCTTTTCTACTTATCTTTATTTTCCTCCTATTACATTACGAAGTATAATAATTTTTGTGCCCATATGAAATTTTATATTAGAAATGAAAATAACATGATTACATCAGATGCTTTTTTTCTTCTCTCTCTGTATATATTGACGATGGCATTATAGTCATTCATATTAATCATATCATTGAAGACATTTTTTGAACCGCCTACTATATGTTGTCATATGTTTTTAATATTGATTAATGATAGCAATCAAGATTTTTCATTTCGATTAACATATAAATATGGCATTGTATGGAAATCAGCTGTTTAATAAAACAAATTTTATATTTTATTTTATGATTTAATCAAATAACCTATCGATTCATTTTCAATTTTTATGTTCAGATCGAAAATAAATAATTTGTTTCGATGAAAAGTCAAACAAATCATCTTTTTGTTCAATATGACTTTTAATGAGCTAGAATTTTATGAATAGTCGATAAATCAAATTTTGAAAATCAAAAAGAAATATTTAATAATCCAATGAATATTATATTCTTATAAAAGCTTCTAACAGAATATATATGGGAATTATATCTAAAACCTATGAAATGAATTTACTGATCACTGCTTGTTGAAAAATTGTATCTTGTTATTAATATGACTTTACTGATGATTAATGTACCGAGAGTAACATATCTGATGTTCATGAGTTTGTTTCCTAGTTTAAGTAATGATAGAATACAATCATTTAGAAAGTCACTACAAAATATCATAGGATGAAAAACGAAACAGATCATAATAATTGTATTATTATTTTCCGATATTTTTGTCATAATGATTTTGACAAGAGCGAATAAAAGAAAGAGAATGAACAAAAAAATATTTGTTTTTGATTAATGTTAATTTATCATGAACTATAAGAATATATCTTTGTATTGTTGTTCACACGAAAAATAATGCGTATATGATATGGTTATCCCTACTTTGATCGAAAGTATAGAAAATATTGTTTGAATCAAAGAAAAAACGTTGAAAGACTTTGAACTAATAAACCAAGTTGTTGCAATATAAAGTTCATAGCTGTAAGTAACGAGATCTTATTGCATGTTAATTAATTTATAATTATTCATGAATAACCCAAAACTGTGTACATTATAATTCTAAAGTGTTACTATGCACGTTAGACCTTGCTGAAAATGACAAATTGGAAAATTAGTTTCCACTGTATCCATTGAAATTTCATCATATTTTGGTATATAATACAAAGTGCATAATGAATACTAATTTTTTTCCTTATAATTTTGTGATCATTGTATTACATTGTTCATTTAATCTTTCGCTTTCATTTAACTAATATTTATATATGTTCTTGTATTGATAAAATTTCAGTCTGTAATAATAACAACGTCTCACACAAAAAGTATATATATATTCAAAAGATAAGATAAGAACATATAATCATATTTTTTTCATTTTATAGTATTATAATATAAGACCATAAACGAAAAAGAATTGTTGTAGCGACAATATTCATAAATCTTTCGAATAGAAAGAAATTCTAAAGCCATATATCAAACAGGTAATCCTTTCTTTTAGATTTATTTATTGAAAATCATACAATGTCGAATAAAGTACATACTGAAGTAATTATTGATGCTAGCAAATTACCTTCTACAACAAATTTTGAAACATCCAAACATTTACTTGATTATAAAAAATTTATTGATTCAAAAAGTTTGTATTATTCTGGTCCATTAAATAATGCAAAAGTTAAAAGTATACAACCGAAAGTTGCTTATCAATGTAAAATGAACATCTTAATGGAAGAACGAGAATTGATCTGGTCAAAAAAACCAAGTAAAAAACGACAAAATCATTGCATACAACCCATATTTGATATCTGGTCAGACTATCAATTTCAATTACCACTTTTATCCGATAAAAAACCCGAACAAAAACGATCTTTAACTGAACATGATTATACAACAAATTGTGAAGCATGTCAAGGACAAGGATCTATCAATTGTACTAATCATCGTTGTATAAATGGTTCAGAAAAATGTCTCTCATGTACTCAAGGACGTAAATCAGATGGAACACAATGTCCTTCTTGTAAAAATGGATTAGTTAATTGTAAAACATGTAATGGTAAAGGTCGATTACAATGTACGAAATGTGAAGGATGTGGTGCATTTTATAATTCTGCCGTATTACATGTTTCATGGGAAACACGTACATCAACATGGTATTATCAAAATTCATTTTTACCTGAAGAAAAAATAGCACAAGCTGATAAAATATCTTTATGGTCAAAATCAGAAACACCGTGGACAAAAGAATCAACTATAGAAGATTTTGTACATACAATTAATGATCAAAATTCTAATGTTCCATTAAAAGCTAATGTTATTAAAGATTATAAAGAAAAACATTTAAATGAAACAATAAAATTAAAGAATAAAATGCGTCGATTAATTTGTGATATCGAACGTTTAGATTTTGAAGAAATTGAATATATACTTGAATCAAAATATTTAAATAAACATGATCCTTCAAAAGGTAAATATTTTTATTTAATTTATATTTAAATCTATTTCTATTTTTTTTTATTAACAGGAAATAAATTTCGTTTTTGTCAATATAAAGATGCACAAGGACATGATATAATATATGAAAATGATTATCCATTGAATAGTTGCGGATGTATGGGAGGATGTTGTGCATGTTATAACTGTTCTTGTACTATTTTATAAAAAAAATACAAGATATTAAATATTGATTGTTTTTCTTTCGAAATAACTCATACTTTAATTCTTCCCTTATCACAAATAATATGGTACATAACAACAAAAATTCTAAATCATGAGAGTTTATCATATACTCATGATATTTCACTTATAGAAATGTCATAAATTATTATAAAAATGGTAATAACATTCTTTATAATCATGTATTAGTATATTGACATAATACTTCGCATTGCGGACGATAAAAATTTCGATTGTGTATTTTTTTTTTCATCCTACGAAACTAGATAAAATATCAGCTATCTTTGAATAATAAATAATGCTTATTAAAATTAATTTGCTTCTCTTTTGTATGCAATGTATAGTCGTTTAACGACCTTTATATAAAATTTTATATGTTGTTCGTGCATTTATCAAATTCATATAAATCTTCCATAAGTGATATTTTTTTGAAAATGAAAGTTTCGAACGATTGATATATATATATATATTATTAACTTAAAAAACGTTAACATATATTTAAATGTCTTATCGAGTGAGAGAGCTCTTTTGATTTAAGCAAATCAGATTACTACCGTATTGCTCTTTTCTTTCATAGAAATAGAAGAAAAAAAATCTGTACCTTTAATCAAATATTTCTTTTTTTTTCTCACTATTCATAAATATATATATATATCAGTAGGTGATTAAATAAAGGTACTATTTCTGCATCTCCTCCTTCTTCCTCTGTCTCGTTTTACCCACTGTTGATCATACATATTATTCATACAAAGGTTTGTATGTTTCGTTCTTTCTCTCTATTCTACCTTTATTTTACATAGGTCTCGCTATGATGCAAATATTCTTTGACTAACGTTTTATCGGCAAGGCTTATTCATTTCATCTCATCGAAATCATATTACGAAAAAAAAATTCCATTACTTTCTTTCAATTTTTTTTGCTTCCAACGGTTACCACCTTCACGACTTGTCAGATCAATATCATCGTAAAAAGATATGCGTGTATCAGGACGAGTTTTGGTACTTAGTGCCGTTATTATTACAGTGATATCAGCCCTATTTTGCATTATCGGTTTATCGACAAAAGGATGGCTTGGCGGTACTACTGGTTTATTCTATGATGGAGCTTATAAACCACCAGCTGCACTTTCTGTTATTTCATTTATTCTTTTGATTGTATCGATTATTGCTCTGGCCTTACAAATCTTTGATATATTGAACGGTACTTTACGATATATACCAATTCTTATATTATTCGTTGCAACTTTTTTTCTATTGGCATCATTTTCTTCAGCAGCCGAAAGAGGATTCGGTTACTCATATAAACTAATGGTAGTGGCACATTTTTTTTCATATGTAGCCTTAGCTATAACAGCATATTGGCTTGGTCAATCCGATGTAACAACCAATTAATATTAATTAATTAAAATCACTATTTTAAATAGAACACTAACATAAAATAATGGCTTATTTTACTATAGATATAATCATTAGTTTTTTTATTATATATATACATATATAATAATACGTTAAATAAAAGATTGTATTATATGTTTTAATGAAAAAATATTATTTGAAATAAATAAATAAAGGAATATCAAAAAGAATACCGATTCAAACATACTCTGCAAGTTTACTTGTCTCAATTATTGTTTGATAGTTTCAATGTAGCATAAGAATTTTTCTTATTGAATCAAATCTATCATTTCCACGCCATCATTAACTCAATACTCATGTTATTATATTCAACAATACACGTATTCGTTTATTTATGCTAGACGATAATAATACATTTTTATGTCAATGAATTCTATGACCTAAAAATTGAAAAATATTGGTACATACAATTATTTCAATCAACTAAATCCATATATTACTCGAAATATTTGAATCTATCAAAAAAAAATTTTTAGCATTATCATTATTTGTTCGTAATAGTTATATTCGATCATGTTTTGAAAGCATAATCATTACACTATTAATCATAGTTGTCAAATTAATCTTGCCTTATTATTAAAAAAGTATTTATTATTTTACAAGATTTTAATTCCATGCATACATACAGTTTGAAAGAGGAAAATATTGAAGAAATTGCGAAATTTATAAATAAATAAATACGAAAAGTTCGCACCATGTACAATTATCCTAATATATGAGAAGTAGAGCTGCATTTTATCTTTACTTTATTAACCCTTTGAGTCCCACCTAGCGAAAAATTCTAGTTTTCAAAAAATTTCGAATATATTAAACAAATGTTCGTAGTTAAGACATATTTGTGCGAGATTAAAAACCCTACTGAGTCAGTTTTTAGGCTCCCATTCGTACACCTGCAAGGAAGTGGCTGAAATATTTCTCATCATTCCCGCAGGAGGGTTAAAAATGACTTAAAATATTTTTTTAAAGTATCAATGGAAGTGTCGATAATACTCAATGCTCATACAAAATATCACGTTTTTAAGAGGTTTCATCCATAGATTAAATGGAGGGTCTCAAAGGGTTAATAAAGATAAAGATAATCTTTATTTGCAAAAATAAAGAATAAAAATACATTTTTTCATGAAATAAGTACATATGTAAATACCCTGTATAACAACAGAATACGTTTACTAATACTCTTTCTTATCATCATCATCATTTCCACATGCCATATCATCAAAAAAAAAGAATTACACAACAAACGATATATACGAAAAATTCCATTCCATATTATAGATATTTTATTCTTTATTATAAAGTAACACCCCTAATGAGAAGAACAATATTTCGATGGTTTTTCAGTGTAGTAGTAGTTATCAAAATTTCTGCTTATACGCATGATGTTCTTACTCAATCAATACAATGCATCGAGGCTAGTTTTCTTTTCCCCATATGCTTAATGGAACATCATAATGCCATAATATTGAACTCAAAATAATTCAATATTTCAAAACAGTTCTCTATTGTCAATATTTATATATTTTAAGATATTTACGAACACATTATAAACAATCGAACTTGATTACAAACGTTTCAGTTCAACTCCAGAAATCTTTCGAGGATTCAACTCTTTTAAGAACGTGGGTGGTGCTTGTGACTATGGATAAAATGAAAATCATATCACACCCTAACCTCTCAATAGTTGAATACTCGAAGTAACTCTCTGAGTTTCACATATATGATGCATGAAATCTTAGTTTGAAACTTTAATTTAATTTTAATATCGATCACTTTTATTAATATGTGAAATTTTATAATGCATGTATGAAAAAGAAAAAGTATACACTTTACAATTATGTACGGCCAGAATTATTGTTTACAAATCGTAATGAAAGATATGCAAAAAACCGAAAAACAACAAACATGCCGAAAAGTACTAAAAAGTTTAGACCAACATTAAGACCTATATCAAAATATTGTAATGCCTCGTCACTAACAAATGTACCATTAGGATTATTTCGACATGAAGGTACATATGTTCCATCTACACATTTATAATGATGTCGACCATTAAATTGTAATTGAAGACATGCATCATAAGAATATTTGAAAAATGATACCCATTTTCCCCATACACCTAACCAATGTGGTAAATTTCGAACATAAAATCCGCCGACTAACATTAAACTCATAATAAGTATCGTAGCTGCTGTTATTCCATGTAGTAAATTTTTAAATGTTGCACCCAAAAAAAGACCGAGTGATTCAGCAACAAGAATTGATAAAAGTTGAAAACCAAGAATAGCAAGAAATATACCAAAATTATTATTCATATTTGCCATCCAATAAGCAATTATAAGATATAATGTTGGTAAAATAAATTTTAATGGAGCTTCAGCTAATGATTTAGCAAGAAAATAAGATGATAAACGATATGAACCACTTGCACGTTCTTTTTCAATAACACCACGTTCTGATGGAAATGATAATAAACCACTAAATAATGTTTCTAATGGCCAAAATGCCATTATAAAAAAAATAAATGATGATCGATCAGGTATTGTATTTTCAGCAAAATTCATTCTTAACCAACATAAACCAGTTATTACAGATATACATATTGCCTGTATAAAACTAAGGCGCGTAAATTGAGCTTTTCCAGATAATCGAAATGCACGTGAAGTAAGAATTAATAATTGAGGTAAAAATCCTATTGGCCATTTACTTTCATGTTTAGCTGGAATTAAATTAACATTATCTGGATTAGTTAGATCTGCGACATCTCCAGATGGTTCGACTAATAGATATTGTCTACCAACTGTTGAATATTGATATTGTTGTTGTTGTTGTAATTGATTAGATATAGTTTTGACATTTGTATTTATTTTATTTTGAAGATAGGCTTCTTTAAGTTCTTCTCGAATTTTCATATCTTGATTAACAAGATCCATAACATAATCAGCTGGATTATACTGTGGTGGTGAATGATGTCCTAATGTAGCAAAATAAGGAAGAGCATCCGATGGTTTACCCTATAGAAAAGAAATAAATTTTCATAGAATAAAATAGATTATCATGTTACCATAAAAATAGTTTTTCCGTCAGCTAAAAGAATAAATTGATCAAATGATTGAAAAATTTGTGATGAAGGTTGATGAATAGAAGTAACGATTGTTTTACCCTGCATAGCTAATTCACGAAGAACATCTATTAATGCAACGGCTGATGTACTATCCAAACCAGATGTAGGTTCTATATGTATAAGAAAAATATAGAATTAATTATAATCTACATTTAACTTACCATCAAGAAAAATAACACTTGGATTTGTTAATAATTCTGTTCCTATATTAACACGCTTTTTTTCACCACCAGATATTAACGTGATAGGAGTATTTGCACACCCTCGAATACGTAATTGATCAATAATTTGTTCAACTTGAGTTAACTTATCTTTTTTAGATAAATGATTGGGTAATCGAAGTAAACCGGTATATGTCAGTTGTTGTTTAACAGTAAGTTGTTCAAAAAATGAATCTTGTTGAAGAACATAAGCTAGTTTTCGTTTCATACTTCTTTCATAACTTTGATTATTAAACCATACATTACCAGTAACACCATTCAATGCTCGACCAGCTAAAGTATTGAGTAATGTAGTTTTTCCACAACCTGATGGACCCATAAGTGCAGCTAATTGTCCTGGTTGAATTTGTCCAGAAACTTGATCAAGTAATTTTCGTTCAATAAATCGTTCTTTTGATGATGGATCGATCATTTTAGCTGGAACATTGATAACTTTAGAGACATTATGAAATGTAACTGTAATACGCGGTGATAATGGTGCTACTGTTTGAGCTCCATCAACAGACATTTCAATTTGTAATGTATCACCATCACGCATTTTTATAATATGTTCTTTTTGTGGATAAGAATCAGTTTTTTGTGCTGTATCCTTGAATCCTTCATTGACATAACTATTAACTACTTGAGAAGATGGCATATTGATTTGTATCGAAGATGTGCTTATGTTTAAATTTAATGAATAAACTAAAGAAATAACGTTATATTTATACTATCATAAAAGCGTACTTCAAAATAACAAAATGTATAGTATATGTCATGGTCATTTCTATAGTGCCTACTTTTCTTATATAACCTTTTTTTGATATTCTTTTAGGTAAAAGCACACAGATGGATATGGATGCGAGTGAAAAGTAGTGGCATTACCAACACTCGCACCCTTATTAGCACTAATTAGTAAAACTTAGGTGTAAAAAGTGAATTTCTCTGATCTCAGAAAAAAATGGGAGAAAATCGTATAATATATCATTCAATATGTATAGTATACCATTTTTAAATTTTTAAATTTTTACGTCAAAAAAAATCATTCTTGATTACTTATAACCTCAAAAAACTCAATAATGAAAGATAAAAGACATGGATGAAAGGGTTTTACAGTATCTACACCCATGCTACTATTCAGTTTACTTAGGGTAAATTTTATCGATATGTACGTATTAGTAAAAATATATTCATACTGTAGAAATGAACGATGCACACGAGTAATTCATGCGTACAATTATAGGCCAATGAGTTACATGCACATGGATTGTACAGATGAACTTTATATGAATGCGATAAAAATAAAAGGTGTAACGTGAGTATTATAGTATTTAAAAGAAATGTACCATTTTTGTAGTCTTGATATATATACAAAAATGCTTTTTGAAATGATTGATGATCAACAAATAATGAGCCGTTGGATTTATCAGCGTCATAAGATCACCTTCTTTATTTTTGTTAAGAAATATACTTGAGAATTGATCGCATTGTTTTTACCGCATCATTCTAGTATTATAATTCTTTTTCGAAAGAGAAAAGTCATACCTTATAGATATTTTATTTACTTTAGTATCATCGATTATAAACAAAATAAACAATGAGAAAATGATGAAGACTATATTGATATTAATCAAAGCAAAATTTTAGGAGAAATATTTTTCAACTATTGACAGATCCGAGATTGCTTATACACTCATGAAATAATCACACAATTTATTCGTTCAATGTACAATGAAATCCATTTTTGGTTTGTCCTCACGACCTGAAAGGATATGAATCATGTCTGTTTCGAGCTTTGATTATTTTCGTTGATTTTTAAATTAATACATTCAAAAACAAATGAGCACCGTCGAAAATCAAATCACTAATATTAATAAATGTCTGGACAATTCAACTTGTGGAGAATTTTTTGATGCTTGTTTTACATCTTTTTTTTTGTTGTTTTAAAAATGATTCAAAATGACCGATATCAATTGAATATAATGCTTCTTGTCAAAAAAACAAAGTATGATACGCTGTTTATTTATCTTTTCAAGGTATTCTTCGGTTTTTCAAGTTTATACCTGTATATAGCCATCACATTCCAAATAAAGCGATTTTTGTTATTGGTATTGACTAATACCGTCTGGATACCTTTGAAAATTTCGATATCAGATTTGGACTTATAAGAACGCCTTTGCAAGATGGTATCATCACTTTGATACATTTTTGTTGAAAGCTTAATCAGAAGAATGTTGTTGACCATTTAAATTTGATCGTACTTGCATATCCTAAAATCTTTCTAGCTCGTTGATGAAAACTTCACATCTCTATTTTCTTTAGTTCTTGTGATATTGAGAAGAAAACAGTCGCATACTCAGACTTCTTAGATAAGACATTTACTGTGTTGTTTTAATAATCGGACTACTAAACACTCTGAAGGTAACTAAATTTTGGGTCGAGAAATAATACTTGACCTAGAAACAGCATGAATAGATGTACTGTGCAAAGTTTGATTCCACTAGCTTCTACAAGAGTCGAATGCATAAAGAATTCGAAATGTGAGATATATGAGAATAAATTCTTTTAGTTTGTTTCAAGAGTTTATGACAATACATATAAACTCAGATCTACATGACATCAAGAGAAATTCTAATTGCATGAATATAATATACGTGCGAAACGGTTGTAATATGTGATATAACAACTATCTATAATCCTTTCAAATGTGCACGTATAAATAATATTTTCCTCAATATCTGTCTATTACTGACATCTTTTTTCTCTTTCTTTTCCATTGGTGATCTATTTTTTTACATGTTTATTCATGGTTTATTAATCTCCTTCACGTTCCGACACATCTTGATCGATTTCTTTCGGAGATAGTAAATCAATCGATTTCAAATATGAATATCAACGAACGATCATTAACAACACTATCTACAATGAGTGCTCAAGGATCAGGTGGAACATTAAATCATTCTGATGAACAAGCTGAACCATCTTCAACATTCAGTATTTTTGCACTTGATTATAAAAAGTAAAGAAAATTATTGATTTAATTTTTTTTAAATTATACTCTATATTATTTTAGACATGAAGATCTGAAACAAATGTTAGATGGTAATAAAGATAATTTAAAATTAGAAGCTATGCGTCGAATAATTGGTGTAAGATGGAAAATAATTTTTTTTGTTTTTATCCATCTATCTCTTATAGATGATTGCAAAAGGTAAAGATGCTGCTGATCTCTTTCCAGCTGTTGTTAAAAATGTTGTTTCAAAAAATATGGAAGTAAAAAAACTAGTTTATGTTTATTTAATGCGTTATGCTGAAGAACAACAAGATCTTGCATTACTTTCTATAGCTACATTTCAACGAGGATTAAAAGTAAAAATATTTACCGAAGTTTTATTTTATTTTCTATATATATGTATATATTAGGATCCAAATCAATTAATTCGTGCAAGTGCCTTACGTGTATTATCAAGTATAAGAGTTCCAACGATTGTAACAATTATGATGTTAGCTATACGTGAGGCTGTTAGTGATATGTCACCTTATGTTCGAAAAACAGCTGCTAATGCAATAGCAAAACTTTATGCGTAAGAAATTTTCATTTTATTTTCTCTAAATTGATTTTCTCATTTATGTTATATAGTTGACATTCATTATCACAAAAGAATAGTTATATGCATTTGTAAGAATTAAAGCATAGGAGAAATAAACTACACTAGTTCACAGGAGGAATAATTTATGAAAAGAAAAATTGATATAAGCCTAGTACTAATTATGATATTTTGATATTTAGTTTGGATCCTGAATTAAAAGATGAATTGGTTTTAATTATAACGAAATTACTTGCTGATAAAACAATTGTAAGAAAATGAAGATGTTTAGTTTTTTAAATGTTTTTAATTTAAAATTTAGTTGGTTAATGGTAGTGCTGTACAAGCATTTGAACATGTATGTCCCGAACGAATTGATTTAATACATAAGAATTATCGACGTTTATGTAATCTTCTGGTTGATATTGATGAATGGGGACAAGTTACAGTCTTAAGTATGTTAACAAGATATGCACGTTCGCAATTCGTCGATCCTAATAAGGTTTGTTTTTTTTTAAACTAGAAAGAAAAGATAAATTATGATTGTTTTTAGACATTTGAAGATGAAAAGAAAGCTTTTTATGAAGATGAAACTGAAAAAAATGATGACGAAGACGAAGAAGAAGATTCATTAGATAAAAAAACATATGTTATGGACAGTGATCATCGATTATTATTACGATGTACCAAGCCATTATTACAAAGTCGAAATTCAGCTGTGCGTATGATTTTATAAGAAAATACTGGGTTTACGAAAGATGCGCATCTTTCGGGATGCCGTTATTGTCTAAATTTTCAACAGCTATTGATAACTTAGTATAATTTCCTTTCAGGTTGTTATGGCTGTTGCACAATTATATTATTATGTTGCACCAAAAAGTGAGATTCAAATTGTAGCTAAATCACTGATTCGGTTACTTCGCCATCATCGGTATGTTTAATGTTATTTTTAAGATAATTTCAATCTTATTTTGTTTAGTGAAATTCAAACAATTGTTCTTAAATCAATCGCATCAATAGCTGATAAACATAAACAAATATTTGAACCACATTTAAAATCATTTTATGTTCATTCAAATGATAGTGGTCTTGTTAAACGTTATAAACTTGAAATTCTTACTATATTAGCGAATGCTTCTAATATATCAACAATACTTCGCGAATTTCAAGTATTAAGCAACTGATTTTCTATTTTGAACTTCATTTTTTTCTTTCTTTAGACATATGTTTTAAGTCCTGATAAAGAATTTGGTGCACAAACTATTCATGCAATAGGAAGGTGTGCCAGTACAATATCTGATGTGACTGAAGCGTGTTTAAATGGTCTTGTAGCATTAATGTCAAAAAAAGATGAAACAATCGTTGCAGAAAGTGTTGTTGTTGTTAAAAAATTACTTCAAATAAACGTAAAATGATCGTTAATTTTTCAAAAAAATAAATTAAATTATTTTATTTTTTCTATTAGCCATCACAATATAGTGAAATAATCAAACATATTGTTCGAATGGTAGATAAAGTTACTGTTCCAACTGCACGTGCATCAATTTTATGGCTTATTGGTGAATATTCTGATCGTATTAGTAAATTAGCACCAGATGTATTAAGAAAAATGGCTAAATCATTTCCAGATGAAGTTTGTCATTTATGGGTTTTTTTTCTTTCTTTTATTAAATATATTGATTTCTTTAGGAGACAATTGTTAAACATCAAATTCTTAATTTAGCTGCTAAACTTTATGTTGTTAATGCTAAACAAACTCATTTATTAGTACAATATGTATTTAATTTAGCTAAATATGATACAAATTATGATACTCGAGATAAAGCACGACTTCTTCGGTAAATTAAAAATTTAATTCAATATCTTAGTACTTCTCTTTTTTTATAGAGCTCTATTATTTCAACCTGACAAATGTCCAGCATTAAGTAAAAATGCTAAAAAGATTCTCTTAGCACCGAAACCAGCACCTAATCTTGAATCAGTCATTCGAGGTAGAATTACTAAAATTGGTTTTTATTTTTATATTGAACTATGTTTATTTGATTTTCTTAGATCATGATCAGTATACATTAGGAACTTTATCATTTGTTATTGGTCAAAAAGCAGCTGGTTATAAAGATTTACCAGATTTTCCATTGGAACCACCAGATCAAAGTGTTCGTAATGTTGAAGTTATTGTTCCATCAACACCACAACATGATTTATCAAGAAAATCAAGTGCCATTGCAGGAATGACAACTGGAGGAAAAAAGAAAAGTGGCACTGATGAAAAATTTTATTCGGATGAAGAAGAAGAAACATCAACTGAAGGACCTGATACAGATGATGAAGAAGAAGAGGAAGAAGAAGAAGAAGAAGAAGCAGAAGAGGAGGAGGATGGTGAAGAAGAAGAAGAAGAAGAAGAGGACAACGACGACAATGGTCAAGAAAAACAAAAACCAATAGACAAGAAAATTAAAACAAATGAATATGAACAATTAGATGCTCGTCCTACAAATAATGTAGAACCAGAAGAAGAAGAAGAGGAAGAAAGTGATGCCAGTAGTGAAGAAGAAGAATCTGAAGAAGAAAGTGAAGAGGAAGAATCATCCGAAGATGAAAAAGTAAAATTTGAGTTTAAAAAAGAAAAGAACTAATAGTTGCATCGTTTATTTTGATCATACGTATGGAAGAATGTGCGGAAACTCAAAATATTTTGCGCGCAACAAAATAATCTCTCTTAGCTATTTATAATATAAATCACATTGATCAAGAAGTAGACATTTGAGAATTTTTGTAAGTTTCATATAAAAATATTCTTCCTGAGAACAAAATTGAAATGAAAATCATAAATCTATTCAGAATCGAAACTTATTTTTCTCTTCGATAATTATGTAATTTATTTTAATATAAGTAGATAATCATTATAACTATAATTTTCTTTTAGCCAAAATCAAAACATGTATCAACTGTGGCTAAATCAGCATCTAATATAACTGTTAGCGATTATACTATTCCTGCAATAGAAAAATCTCTTTTAGAAATGGATTGTAAGTACATCTATGTACAATAACGATTTGTTTTACTCGTTTTTTTATTTAGTGGAAGCATTTCTTGGTTCAACATCAACAACTGTTCAGACAATACCATCAAAAACTACAATATTTGATGATTTAAATGATTTAGAATCTTTAACTGTATGATTTCTTCATTGTCTAATCATATCTCATTAAAAAAAATCTCTTTTTGTTTCTTAGTTAACATCATCAGTTCGACAATATGATTGTTTAAATCGTATTACTGGTCAAGGTTTACAAATTCAATATCGTTTTCCACGTACAAAATTTCATCAATCACCAAAAATGGTTCACGTAGAATTAATATTTACAAATACAACAACAGATAAAGACATTCAATCAATTAAATTTTTGAAAGCGGTTTGTATCTTTTTTTTCGTGGTAATAAATCTATATGTATATGTTCATCGAAATTTTTAGAAATCAAATATGAATATTCAAGGATTTGATGAAATTGATGTTTTACCAAGTGGTGGTACAAGTGTAGCATCAATTGGAATTGATTTTAATGATAAAACACAGCCAGCATTATTTGATATTTCATTTAATGACAATTCTCTACCAACATCATTATCGATTTCATGTCATGTTGGAGAACTTTTTGAGCAAAAATTTTTAAATGAACAAGAATTCAATCAGAATTTAGGTAAAAAGCCGAAAAAAATAATTATTTTGGATTTTATGTTTAATTTTAGCTCGTCTTCGTGGTATGAATGAAATTACTGATAAAATTACTATTAATGAAGTACAAATGTCGAAATTAAACTTTACTACAGTTCAAACAAAAATAGTTCAATGCGCAAATGTTACTTCAGTTCCATCGGGTTCAGGAGATTCAACAATATTTAGGTAAAATAAATATTTTATTAATAATACATCGTTTGATTACTTTTCTGTTCTCTGAGATACGGAAGTGAATTTCAAGTTTCTTTATATGTTCGTCTATACATAGAGACACGAGAAAGAATTAGATTTTCTAAATTATTGTCTAATTTCTGATAGATGTCTCTTAAATGAATTGAATGCTCGCGTACACTTTCTTTTCCGATATTAAAGTCGTTATCTACGAAAAGTCTTATCAACGAGTACATATTGTTTTTTCTTCTTTAGATTTTCCGGACAAACAATCTCAAGTAAATCTCTTATACTTCTCACAATTCAATTAAATACTCTTCAATCAACAGTTAATTTGACAATCAATTCTGATCAAATTGTTCTTGCAACAATGCTACTTAAAGAAATCAAACAAACATTTCCATAAATATCATAATAGATTTTTTTTCTCTTCCAACAGTATTCCGTTTATTTTAGTATTTATCTCTATTCGGTGTTGTCTTTCTGGCAGTGCAATATATCTCATTTTATTCATTTTCATTTAATAAAATACTTTTACGTATATATATATACATTCACTGAACTATTCTTATCAATTAATTATCATGATTTTGATGTCTACATGTATTAAAATAAGTATTCGGATGACAACATCGGAATAAACAAAATTTATGAGAATCTTCCTTAGCTCCTTTTTATATCATTTCTTTTAAGAAATCTCCTTGATATTAATTTCAATTTTTTTCAATGAAAAAAGAAATGTTTCATTATCAATTTGAAAATAAATTATATTATTCTTTCTTCTTTCAATCTACTTCTCATTTACCTTCTAGCTAATAATCATCATTAAAAAGAAATCTATCTCCATAAATATAAATAATGAAATGTCGAACGATAGAAATGATACAATATCAACTAATAAAGAACAGGAAAAGTAAAGGTCATAATAACTGCTTTTGAATACAATATAAGATAATGATTTACTGTATATAATTAATCCTGTTTATAGCAGGAAAATCTTTTTTTGATTCGAATATATATATATATATATTCTTCCTTTGTTTCTTAACAATTACAAAAGATATAAACAAACAGGCAACAACTGTGCATAGCATATGACAACAATTCATTCGATCCAAACAAAAAATATTTTAATACAAATCATCACCATTTGCTGTTGCAATCGACGAAGAACCGTTGCTATTTAGAGGATTACTGAGCAATGAATGTGTAATTGTATTTGAATTATGAAGATTATTTAAAAGTGATATATGTCCGGTATGATGATATTGTGGTGGTGTTACAAATGTTTGTTGTATTTGTGTTGCTGATGTTACTGATGTAACAGTAGCAGCGGCAGCACGTGCTGCTTTTGCTCCACGTTTAGTCGTCGTATTTCCACGTTTTGTCACAGGACTATTAGTAGTATTTGTTGTCGATTTAAGTGGATTATCTTTTTCACAATATGGTTGTCCATTAAAAAGAACGTAACGATCACCTTTAACTAAAGGTGTATGACATTTCGCGCAAGTAAAACAAGATAAATGATAAACAGAATTAGGACTAATACGCATTATTTGTTCATTCGTTCCAATTACTTGACCACATAATGCACATGGACGACTACCATATATTCTATAATAAAAATTCAAAAATATTTTTTTATAGAAAGAATAAAAAAAAAAACAAATAGAAATTTACTTACTTCATATAATCAGATTTGCAAAGAAGTGCATTATCTTTAGTATAAAATGTTGACGCTATATCAGCTAAAACTGCATCACAACATTGACAGCGTAAACATTGCATATGCCAATAATTTTCACGAGATAAACGATCATGTGTACGAAGAAAATATCGTTCATGAATAGGTTGAGAACAATGTGAACATCTATGTATATTAGGATTCGTTGTATTTTGTTGATTTGCATCATAACGAGGTGCAATAGGTACCATTTTTGTTTGTAATGTCGATGGTTGTTGATCGAATACAAGTGATTGTGATTCAAGTTTAGGCTGCATTAATACAGCTGAGCCATTATTATTGCCTAGAATGTATGTATGAATGAATGAATGACAAGAGAATAATTAATATTCATGTTCTTCATTCTTTTATATTACTACTACGACTACATCTTGATTTCAATTTATTTTCCAATTATGAAATGATGATCGATGGCGATTGTGCATGTATATGAATAAGATGAGATTCTCTCTTTCTACTTGACACATAAGGGTAAGAAAGAAGAAGAAGAAGAAGAAGAAAAAAAAGCTTAATAATAAATATGATCAGAGAAAAAGGGAAAAAAAATCATTACTAGAGTGATGATGGTTACACAAGATGAATGAATGTATGAACGAACGAAGTAACTAAATCACTATCGACTGTATCAAATCGAGAAAAGAACAGACCAATACAATCGACTAATTGTTTGGACAATTACTTTAATTACACTTGCTCTCCTTTGTCTGCACGACAGCAGGTGCGAAAAAGAATAAAAAAAAAAAGAAAAAAAAAACTAGAAAATGCTTGTGATTACATCCAACTAACATATCTAAAGATGATGAGTAGTAGCATGGATATTTTTTTTTTCGATTTATTATAATATTTAATTAAAATCCTATTTATGGGATTTATATATAGTAAAATTTGTCCTGAAGGCAATTGAATAGAACGAATGACAGAAAAAGATCAAAGTATTAATTAATATAATAATGATGATAATCAAAAGAAAAATGTTTTTCTATTTTTAATCAAAACAAATCAATATTATATTTTTAGTTCTCTCTCTCTCTCAAGATATTTATCTGATAAAATAAAATTTTGATTAGTTTCTTAATAGAACTATTCGATTTTACATTAGTCTAATTTCTTTCGACATCTACCTGTACGCATCATAATATGAAAAATGGAATAATAATTGTCGATAATATTTATGTGATGTTGATGGTAATAAATGAATATTATTGTTGATATATGTCGTCCAGTACGTATATATATATTCATTCAGTACAATATTCCATACATATGTTCTATCAGGCAAACTCGTGCGTCTCGTCTCGTCCCGTTTGTGCACAGAAACAAAACTTGATCTCGTTTTTTCTTTTTCTCTTCGCCTTCCCTATTTCTATTTTCTTCTTCTTCTTCATCATCATCATCATCATCATACAAGCACTAACCAACATCACAACGATTCTCTTCTCTATTCTCCATTATATTACAAATAGACATCGTCAATTAATGAATTGAAGAAGAAGACATGTAGTCTTCGAGTTCTTATATATATATATATGTACATGTATATACAGTCGACCGAGGGCAAGGAATTCATTAGAAAAAAGTGAGAAAGAAAAAAAAATATTGAATTGAAATGAGAAGAAAGAAGAAAAATACGAACTTGTGCGTCGTCTTTTTTTTTAATGACAATTCAAATTAGCTAAACATATGTGTCTATAAATAGATTTTTTAGATGAATGAATAGACATATATTTATGAATAGGATCATTATTAATAACTGAAAGAATGCTCCATCTTAAAATTTACTAGTTTCATATTATTGTTATGCAAAAGTTATTATACTTTTTAATTAACACAATTGATTTATTAAGTATACAATCTCATCTTTTTCTCCATTCTTTTTCTATCGACAACTAACGTCATAGAAAATGTTCCTTTTTTTTTGTTTTTTTAATTGACAATCTCGTTTTCTTTTTTTGATATTTTGTTTTATAGAAAAAAATGAGTGCAGAAATAGTTGGTATTATTTAAAGAAAAAAGTTCTAATGATTATTAGATAAATGAACAAAAGAAATAGAGAAAAAAAAACGTCTTGATAAATTGAATGTCAAGCACATTGACTTTATAGTGGACTAAAAGCGATTATCGATTTTAATAGATCAACAAAACAACAAAGCTTTTAAACTAATCAATTTTCTACAATATTTCACTAACTCACCTGTTGCCGTAGCTGTAACTCGTCGACGAGTAGTTCGAGTTGCTCTCACCATCTATGGATATCTTTCTTCGTTGTCGCAGCGTTTAACGGTGTGTTCTTTTTTTTTTGAAAAGAAATGAATCTGACGGTGTATGTATGCGTACGTGTGTTACAAAAAAAAGACGGGGATGTGGCGTGTGTTCTGTTCTTCTTATACATACGTACGATAGGACACGAAAAAAAAAAAAGAAAAAAAAAAGAAGCAAACTGCTAAATGACGACGAGGAGGACGACGAAAAAATCTCTCTATTCACAATCACCTCTAACTGAATGAGCTAATTAAAACCACAAGATACTTATTTCTCGTTTTTTTTTCTTTTCCTTTTAGCACATTCACGGTCCTCTCGGGTGACGAGAGTGTGTCTTATGTATACACACACTGCATTATATTGTAACTGCACTTGATTATCTCTTCACATCTATGCGAAATAGTAACGAAGAACGACGAAGATAAAGGTACTGTCGTATGGAGAGAGAGAGAGAAAGACGATAAGGAAACAGTGACATGCTTCTAGCGTCTAAGATATGTTTAGCATACACACGGTCATGAATAATTTGCCAATTTAATTAATTTTATTCATATACGGTGAAATGATTTATTAAAATAAAATGAAAATATTAAATTAGAATTTTATGTTAATTATTTTCTTTTAATAACATCTTTATACATGTCTATGTAAACTATACTAGTAGGTTTACATTTACAAAATCGATTTACGAGAAAAAAAATTCAAATTACAAATAGAGATTGATAAACTCAACTACTAATCTCTTTTATTACTTTTATTTCTTATCATCTATAAAAATAAATTTAAGACATTTCATTGAAAAGTTCATCGACAAAAAAATCTATTTAATTTTCTTTTGTTATGTATATATATATGAATATTATGCAAGCAGCTATATATATATAAATATATATATTGAATTGATTGTAAGTAAAAGAAGAAAAAAAAACCTTTTCATGCCGAGCCATCAATAAATATTCTCTACGGGAGAAATGAATGAGATTGGTCTAATGATGATAATAATCCGGCCATCAGAGTATTTAGCAAACACATATTAATCGAAAGTGAATAAACGTGCATCCAAATGATGGTAATTTTCTTAGTATGTTGTTATTTCTCACATATATACATCTGACATACGTTATACTTCATATATAATTGTTATTACTTATTCCTTGTGTCCATTCTACAGGTTTTATATACTCACTATTATTATTATTATTAATGTTAACCATCGGTTTTGTTAACGTTGATGAAGGCAATATTGAAGATCCTAATAATAGATCATCATCGATTACATCAGAAAACATTCTGAATTTTAAGAATATCTGAAATGAAATAAGATTACATTTGATTCTATATTACAACTATGAATAAATATATCTGGAAGCATTGTTCATTCTTTTTTTCTTCTTCTACTCTTCATTAGTCAAGAGGTATAAAGTATGCTTGCCAATTCAATGAGATTCTGCTAAATGAGTTGAGTTAGAAACGAGATAAAAGCGAGAAGTTGAGGAGATGATGGATGCAGAATACTATCGCTATCGCCTCATAGCTCGTTGATTATTGATAGTACTGCGCCTGACAACAGTTAGAAAGAATGTATCGATAATAATAATAAAATGATGAATGATAGAACGTTAGTTGATTATAGATACACTCAAGATTTAGATTAAAATCAATCGATAAATAACGAAATAACATTCACATTATAATGAAAAAAAGAAAGTATTTCTAATACAAGTAATAATAACATGACCTGAGAAGCAAAGATCGTATACAATGGCATTTACGCTCGGTAAAATTGATGTACACATATAACACATGTTCTTACATAAAAAAAATTATATTTATCTAACCTAAATGTAAAATTTTCTAAAGAAATTATTAAGACAGCATACAGAATAAAATAAATCGAAGTAATTCAATACATAATCGATTCAAAATTTATTCATATAAAATAATACATGCATACATACGAAAAAATTCTCATGGTAAACAGGCAAAAGGTGTTTAATATCGACGATATTATAAATGCGCTACCTGATACTCATTGCTATCGATTATCGAATATATTCAACATAGAAGACTTACGAAAAAAAAGAAATCGGTTTTTTTAAATATACCGACAAACATTATCTATTTTTTCTCTTTGCATGGTAACAAATAATTAGCGATTAGGGAATTTTACTTTTTCTCAAGAGATATACATATAGCAATCTGTTAATTGATTATATGAAACTGTTCTCACTCACTCTCTCTCTCTCTCTCTCTATTTTCGATCTCTTTTTGTTAGTGAAGCACAAGTATGTCAATCTATTTACTCGTATATATATGAGTACAATTTTCGATTATAATTGGTGGTATTTGACGAAGATAATCCTCTAATTCAATCCAGTCAAATATGTCGGCATAATTTTAACATAATCAAATAACCATTATCAATCGTACACTTAATAATGCTTGTTAGAAATCGATTGATGTCATTGTTAAGATTAGATTGTACTATGATAAAGAAAATTACCATTCAGACATAGTAAAAAAAATGCAATGATTGAATATTTGTTTTATTGAATGTTATATGAACGACTAGTAATTATCTTATCGTTGTTCTCAACTACGACAAACCCTTATTATAGAGATAAGAATTAGAACGATTTCTAATATTACAATACTTGAAAGAATTCAATTATTAATCATAAATCTTTCTATAGGAAATAATCTGTATTATTTCTCTAGTAAAATTACTTGTCTATACACGTCTTTTTCAATTGAATAAAAAAATCACGAAAACCTTCACTTTTGTTATTTATAATCAAACTATTAAATGTGACTACTTCATGATGATTTTTTTAGTGCTTCTCTACATATTTGTATGTTAATCAAACAATCACTTTACGTATTCAAATCAAATCCTTATGAATATTTGATGATAGATTTTTTTTACATGTTCGACTTTCGAATGGATATTCTAGTTTTTCGTAATATTTTCATTTTTATAGTTAACAATTAAACGTAGAAACAAAAAATATTTATAACTGAATTTTTTCAACTGTAACATTCAAGTTTTTATCGATGAGAACAAATGACGTTGAAGGTACCAAATGCCAATCTTTCGTGTTATACGTATTGGGTTCACTTGCTACAATAACATGTTTTCCATGTTCATGCGTAGCTCGCATTGCTGTCTTCGGAATTTCTTCTTTTCCATCAGGATGATCAGGATATTTTCGATTAAGAACAGGTCCTGCCTTTGTCGAATAATACAATGAAGGAGGTTCGAATTCATCGATCGATGAGAAACGAACAGCAAGTAATTGACAACTGTCGGTTACAGCGAAGTTAAGATTACTAAGTGGAAGTTCTTCGTCAGTGTCTTTGATGCTTTCTTGAATTAATGCAAGTACATCTTGAAGAGTATTGATCATAGCTTGCTTCAGTTTTTCTAAAGGTAGTTCCGTAACCCAGTCGGCTCCTAAATGTGTAAAGAACAGTGCAGCAACATGTTCTGTATCTGTTGTTCCAAATATGTTTGTATAAGCAGCTGTTGATAACTTTTGTAATAATGCCACC